GGAATAGACCACCAGCCAGAAGACACCCAGCTCCAGAGGCCCATATGCAGAAATGTTATGCTTGGAACTATCACCAGTGCCTTATCACCTTTGATGTGCAATGCAGGATTTACCCAACAGAAAATATAACACATTTTGCAGCTGAGGTCCAGCTGTGAAATGCTACTTACAGTGGCTTATCTAGAGTATGGCAGGCAGGGCACATGTCATGGGCGCCACCTGAGGGGGGTGCCGCACCACTCAGGTACAGTAGTGGTGTTTGCCCCTTTAGATAAGCTTTGCCCTATTCAGACCAAACAAACAAAGTTGCAATGCTCACTTCCTTTGATGGCTTTGGACTGTTGACTCATCTAATGCAGAGCCTGGCAAAGAAAGTGAGTATTTTAGGCATTCTATGCCCTGGCTACTTGTTTACAAGTGACAGCAGTGATAGGCTGAGCTTTCTGTCACTGCAATCACTTCTGGGAGCTCTGAATGGGATAAAAGTTAAGGGCTACACCACTTTATTCTATAACCACCATCTTATTCAATATATTAGAGGGCCCAGAGAGCCCCAGCGAGCGGCCTGATTGCGGCTGGTCACTGACCCGGATCCTGAGGCCGCACCCACTCATCCTGGTTAGCCCGCACAAACAACCCAGAGCCCGGACTGACCACCTGGAGCCTGCAATGACAACCCGAAGCCCGCACTGACCACCCGGAGCCCCTACTGACCACCCAGAGCCCGCACTGATCACCCCAAAGCCTGCACTGACCACTCAGAGCCCGCATTGATCACCCAGAGCCCCTACTGACCACCCAGAGTCCGCACTGACCACCCAGAGCCCACACTGACCACCCAGAGCCCGCATTGACCACCCAGAGCCCGCATTGACCACCCAGAGCCCGCTCTGACCACCCGGAGCCCGCACTGACCACCCAGATCCCGCACTGAGCACCCAAAGCCCGCACTGACCACTGAACTGAACACCCAGAGCCTGCACTGACCACCACGAGCCTGCACTGACCACCACGAGCCTGCACTGATCACCAGGAGCCCGCACTCACAACCTAAGAGCCTGTATTGACTGCCAGAGCTCCACGACGGCCCCATGAGAGCCTGCACTGGCCACATTATAGCCTGCACAGCCACCCTGAAATCCCCTCAGTGGATATAGTCGGTGGTATTCTGCATTGCTGTATAATGTATTCATGGGATTTGTAGTCCTCTATAGTTGGTGGTATTCTGCATTGCTGTATAATGTATTGCTAAGATTTCTAGTCTCTCTGCAACTTGGAGTCAGTGGCAGATCTACCAGGCTCACAGGTGGAGCCAGGTTGCCCAACCACCAACTCCAAGCTGTAGAGACACTACAAATCACAACCCGGACAGGAGGAAGAGGGCCCCGGTGATTGTCGACATTACCATAAAAAGGCCCACCAAAATCCTCAGCACCAGGTCCATGATGCTCTTAATCTGGCCCTGCCCACAGCCTATCCTCATTCTATACTTGTACAAATACTTGTTTGCTGTTCGCTGCTGCAGGTACAGCCACTGCAGCATGGCCAATGTTGAGTTACAGAAAGCAAATGTGTTTCATATCAGGTGTTTGGAAGACAGCTTGAGCTGCTGTGCCATTTCAGCCAGTCGAACTGGATGTGACCACCTAAAGTGTCTGCACATCCTGGCCAGCTGCAGGACATTCTGGAACTCTGGGTACCAAAATAGTAAGTAATGCAAAATTATGTTTAGGAAGTGTGCCACACTTTCTTTGCCAAAAGGCAGACAGCAGGTTGGTACCATTGTCGCACATGACCTTGCCTGGCACAAGATGTCATGGGGTCAGCCACCTCTCGACCTGCCCCTCAAGAACTGAAATAATCTCTATCTCAATATGGCACCTGTCCCCCAGGTATATAAGCTGCAAAACAGAGTGCAACATTTTATCCAAGGTGTTGTGTAGGTCCTTTCTTGCTTTGAAGGGGCTGGTGGATGAGGCCATTTAGGAAGAGGGAATCTAGGTAACTGAGCTGTCACCATCACCTAGGTGCAGGATATGGGATGGCACCACCAGTTTCAGCAGTGTGCCCCATCCTACATCCTTCCCAGGTGCCAACAAATGTACTCAGTTCGCAGTAAAAGATGGTCCAATGCTTGTTGGACTATGTGTCTTTTATTGGGGACCGTGCTGCTGAATGCATGGTCCAATGACATAGAGACATCTCCATGCACATGCTGGTAGAGGGCAGGGATGGCCTTTTGGATGATAAATTGGTGGCTGCGTACCTGCCACTCTTGTGCAGCAAAGGCCACGAAGGAGTAAAAGGGGCTGACTTCAAAAGCTGGAATAGGAGCAGCTATTAAGCCAGCAATGCTGCCAATATAACATTGATGACATGTCAGTTTGTGGAGCAATACCAGGATTAGATAAAGAGAAGGAAGAAGAAGAGGGGATATTTTCAGTAGCTAGGGAGATTGAGGATATGGTGCTTTGGTGCACTTATCAGCGTGGTGATTTGGTGCACTAAACCATACCGGATTTGAGGTCATGTGTTGGAAACATAGAGCAGCTTTGCCTGTGTCAGGTACAAGTTTACGCAAAATATATTTAAATGAAATATACTTCCCTCAAAGCAATGCAACTTAAACCACTAAAACACAACCTTGAAACACTTAACACCAAACCCCAACCCAAAACACCAAACCCTTTATATATTTTTTTGTTCCTCTTTTTAACCTAACTGAAAGTAAAAAATAAATATTAAAAGTTAAAAGGAAAAATAAACCCCCCCCCCCCAAATAAAACACCAAAAAAAAAACAAAAAAAAAATTGGTGGACAGTATGAGAAGGGATTCTTTTCCTTAGTGGTGGGAAGATGTTAACCTTTATGCTGGTCTTCACCTGGTAGTGTAGCGGGTGCCGATCATAAACCTGTCCTTGCTTATCAACTTCACACATACAAATTGATGCACTCTGCTCCACTTATTACATGTTATTTGAATGTGTATTTATGCTGTATGTTAAATTACACCGTTTAACAAATACACATAAGTAATTGAGTTTCTGTGTGGTATAGAACGGGTTACAGCAGAGGAAATCTTACCAGGAAATTTGATTGTGCATTTATAAATAGATCCCTTGTCCGGCCGCCCCCATGTCTATGAGTTAAGCTGGCCATACACCTATAGATTTTCGATTGGAAATTTTCATTGCTGCCAAGAACCCTCTTTCGATGCTAACTCAAACATCCCATTAAGCACAGTCTGATATCGATTTCCATAATCGTTCGTTAGCAATACTAACTAATTTTCGTTTGCGCATGTGTAGTGTTCTTTCTGCGATTTTTTTTCCTACTAATCCATCGACTTTCGTTCGATTCGAAAAAAGTTTTCAAGTCTGACCGATCAAGGAAATTCGTCAAGGAGTACACTAATTAAAATCGTTGGTGTCCCACCAACTGATCGATTATCGCTCGAAAGACCATTTGTGGATGAAAATCGATAGGTGTTTGGGCACCTTTAGCCTATATGAGTGAAACGTGTGTCAGAGATCAATTCTCCATCAGAGTATCAACAGTATGGGGCTCCTGCCGTGATATGTGACACCATTATTTTAGGAATTCTTGTAGAGCTGGCAAGCATCTGGAGTTCCTGGGAAATCATATAAGCCAGCCCGTTATACAACTTGTCAGCTCCATACAAAACTGAAATATCAATTTGGGGTAAATAGCTATATTGAACTTTGAAGTACTTTTTCAGAGTCCACCGGTGTTGTAGGTCTCGAACCCTGTGCATATTTCCTTATCATAAATATAGCATTAGAGCTTTTACAGCTCTTGGCTCTATATTTAAATGCATATCTGACATACTGTATATGCCCACTTTTATAGAGCATGCCATGTCACCTTACAAGCAGGGTTCGAATTGGGTTGGGTGAAAACTAGGCAGTTGCCTAAAACCTCACTGTTTGATAGGGTACAAATGATATCCTAGCCAATTGCAGAGTGGCAGCAGGTGCCAGAGCTGTATATCAGCACCAGCAACAGGATCCCTCAGCAGGAAGAGTGGAGAAGGGAGGGAAGTGACGAGGAGGAAGTGGCTAGAGCTTCACATCGGGATGAAGGTGTTGAAAATCAAGACACATACACAGGAGCTCTGGAACTGCCTGCAGTCTGGTAAAGTGACAGTGTGGTGATCCACTGATGGGACCTGTGGGGTAGTTATTTGATGTGATGGGTGTATGTGCTCATTGAATTTTGGGTGAATAGTGGGGGTTGTTGAGTGTATTGGGGTGCAGGGGTTGCTGAGTTATCCCTTTAAAGCCAATATCAGTGATTACATGTAACCTGTAGCTAGGTAAGGCACTGGGTAAATATAATTAGCACCACAATTAGCCACATAATCTGTATAGTTCATATGCGTTCAGTTTTAAGGGGGTAATTCCTGAATTCTCTATGACTTTGTTAACTGTAAACCTGTTCTGAGTTATTGACAGGCAACTACCGTTTTCATGTTTCAAGCACTGAGTTGGCAAGCTGCACATGGGCAAGTCATTTCCATATGAAACAATGTAAAATCTGCGCTTCTGGACTGGGTGCGATGTGAGAGCTGCTGCGCTATGTTTTGTGAAGATAAAAAAGATTTTGAGTGTGCAGCGCTATTGAATAGCGCTGCACACTCAAAATCTTTTTTAAGTCATTTCCATAGGCTATAATATGAAAGCACATAGATCCATATAGTAGCAATACTGTGGACATGTTATAGAAGGTGAAGGGGACAGCGAAGAAAAAATAGTTATTAATTTGGTTCTCTTTTAAGTTTTCCATGTTACAAATGATAGAGATGCATTATTTGTATTAGTATAACTTCATACTGAACAGACTTCTGTAAGCACTGATTTTGGATGAGGTTAGCCACGAAGCCAGTATTAGTGTTGTAAGTGAGTAGAGCTAGAATTCTGTGTGTAAAGTTTTGTGTGCTTTAAGCATGCTGCTTCTAGACTACTCCCACCCCTCCCAGTCATACACTCAACACTGTACTCCTATCAGATCACTCACAGCTGCAGGAAGCAAATGAACGGATTGCCTTTTGCTATATAAGGTGAGAGAGAAGGGCGAATAACCGTCACCAACTGAAAAAGAACAGAGGAAAACCTCAAACTACCGACACAAAAAAGACAAACTTATGGAAAGGATTGAAAAGAAACACTGAGCAGGGGGCTGCCACACCACAGAGAGCTCTGTTGTCATCCGAAGACCTCTGGCTGAAACACACAGCAGGGAAAGAGACGGTACAAAGCAGAATGGGAAACAGGAAAGAAAGGGGGAAACAGAGAAAAGGCTGGAGGGCCATATAGAAGCTTAGAAGAGGAGGGTTATAGATTAGTATACATGTGTTAGGCAAAAGTGCACATATGTGTAAGAAAGAGAGAAATTGTTCTGCGTGAAGGAAGACCTCAGAAGATTGTCCCTAAGGCTGTTTTCTATTTGACTTTTTGCAGTACTGAAAGATCCCCACCCATGTGTGAAGATAAAGGCAAAACAATGAAGAAATGCACGACTGAGGAGCTCCCAAGGCTATGGAGGATGCTAGCGGTGATGCTGCTTCTTCTGTCTTGTAGTCCTCTTCTTATGGCTGATGAGCCTAACTGCCAAGGAGCCTTTGACCTGTACTTTGTGCTGGACAAGTGAGTACAGAATGTTAAGGCCTTAAGAGACCTAACAATACGATCGTTATCAGGCTCAAAAGAGGTTAATAACTGATGCAGTGCACTATAATTGAAGCATCCTCCCTCTGCTAGGCTGATCTCATTGTGTGTGTGTGTGTATTTGTGTGTGTGTGTCAAATTTCCACTACTCCCGTGAGTGCAAGAGAGGTCAGGCAGATGTTTTCACATTGAACAGGCATTTATCCCTGAAGTCACGCCATCTTCTTTCATACAGGATAATAGCATAAAAACTTCACGAGAGGTCTAATACCACTATAAATATTTTATCACAATGTTTTGCAGAAAGCAAAGCAGTGATATCCTGTTTGAGTAGAAACTCATCTGTGTCGTTCATTAGTGTTAGAAGATTTTGATTAATCTGTAAGCAAAATGGGATTTATTCAGACTTACTATATATTTAAAATCTTTGAAGTGCCTTTCAGCATGTTCAGTATTTATACAAAAAATTGTTACAAAAGGAAAAGCACGGTAGGAGGTAAGGTGATGGTATAATAGGTAGGCTATGAGTCAGTTAAAGTTGTACAAAACAGGGTTTTGGAAAGCAACAAGTTGAGTTTTAAAAAAGGCAAGGAAGGAAATCAGATGTGTATCCAAAGCCAAAAATGTTGTTGTTGTTTTGTATAGTATAGGAGAAGTAAAACTCCCATCAGGTTTTTTTTGTCATCTGTGTCCCATTGGGGAGATTTCCCTTCACTTCTTGTCCTCAAGACACAGCAAATGAGAAGAAATCTCTCCAACATGAGGGGAATTCTTTCTTAGACAGTTGTCACTGCAACAAGTGTGCCCATTGGAAGATTTCCTTCTAGTGTTGTAGTGACAACGTAAAATGTTGGATCTCCCATCAGTGTCTACTATGGCATCTCCCTAGAGACAGCAGAGAAAGCAATTATTACCTGACAGGGATGCTAACTTCTCCCTGCTTTAAAACTGAAAAAAGAAAAGTTTTGGCTTTAGATACATTTTAAGCAACAACAAAAGAATGTTCAACTTCAGCCAAAACTTCTTTCATGTGAACTGGCATCAATACTACTTAGCCTCCTAGGAGGTGAGTGAGAGGTAAGAGAAGAACAAGCTGTGCTCTCTAACATATGTATCTGAAGGGACGTGTAGTCAGAGTGCAGAATGCCTACTGACTGTAGAAAGTGTAAGTAAGGAAAGGGAGGCATACTGGGTTTTACTTATTGTCTCTGCATTATATTGCCCAATTGTTTTGCTGGGTATTCTCATGACTGCCCATTTGTTTCCTACATAATGCCAGAGCATCTCGATTATCTGTTTTTTAGCCACATATTGTAGGGAACACCAGTGTATTTAAGCCATTGCCCATTTGCTGCCCTTTTTTGTCCCAATTGCCCATTCGTTGTCTATGTATTGCTACAATTGCCTGTTTTTTCCTATGTATTGCCAGGATGACCCATATCTACCCCATATATTGTGTTAGCCGTGCATCTGTAGCCCATGAAATGCTGTTTACCAATGTTTATTTTCTACATTACTAAATGCCAGTGTTTTTGCAACATATTGTCATAATTGCTGGTGTGTTGCCACATTTAACCAAATATTGCTACAGTTTAGTGCTATAGTTATATCTGTGTTTGTTTCAGGCCATGTCAGCCCTTTTTGTTTTGGGAACTGTATTACTATGATTTAACCACTCCCCAACAGGCCTGTCACCATAAAACCACACAATGATTTTATTCCTACCATGCAGAATTTCAGGCTCATGCATACGACCATGTCCAATCCTCTGTTTCTGCTGTACTTGACATCAGCTATACTCTAAAATGACTTTCACTAAAACACAGTAAGAATTAGAGACAGCATTGCATACATTTATTACTGCCAATAGGATGGTCAGTAATCTGCAGCCTGACATCTACTGTTAGTCTCATACTCATTGGTGTCCAGTGGAATTGAAGATGATCTCCAGGCAGATATAAAAAAGACACATACTATTGCAGTTGTGTAATTATTAATACATAATAAATTAATTATTTAAATGCAACTAGTGTAAGTATTAGAATTTGGGATCAGCCTCCTGTAATCCAATGTACAATTCAGCACAGACTGGATGCAGGAGGGGCAATGCTAGGAGCCAATCAAGTATGCTGAATGCAAAAATGCTGACAAGGAATCCTCTGACAAGAGGAGAGAGCAGAGTGAGCAGAGTGGTGACCTCTTTAAGCTGCTGGAGACAATACACCAGTCAGGATTTAAAGGAGAACTATGAGGTAAGTGCTTTTCACTCACCTCATAGTTCTAGCCGACCTGTGACAATGAGACTGTCACAGGTCGGCTCAGTAGATCGGGAAGTGAGCGAACACATACCGGCATTCGCTCACTTCTCGATCCTGTCACGGCCCCCTGCCGTGACAGGGGAGGGGCTGGATTCCCCCCTCCCCGCTCCGATCCTCCAGCGCTGACTGGCGGAACGGACGGGGGAGGGTAAAGCTGGCTCTGCCTCTGGATAGGCAGAGCCAGCTGTCACTCATGCAGCTGGGCGGATCCAGACATAATTGTCGGCATCCGCTTCAGCTGCGGCGTCTCAGTATACCGTGAGCAGCAGCTCGTGGTATACTGCGGCGTCTCAGTATACCGCGAGTTGTAGCTCGCGGTATACTGAGCTTTGGGTGACGGGATGAGGCTAGTTTGTGTCCTCCCGTTACCCTAAGGAGAACTATGGGGAAAAGCCCTAACCCCATAGTTCTCCTTTAAAGAAGAACTCTGGGCAATACAAAACTTACCCTTGCTATAGAAATACCCCCACACTGCAAAGTTTAAGCTCTCATTTTGTCTAGAAGACTCAATAAAACTGTTTTACCTGATCCTCAGTCCCACCAGGTTTCCTCTTGGCTGCTAGACTGGTCTCCACAGCCTCTTCTTCCCTGGGTTTCGGCAAGTTAAGTCCCACTGATGTAATTAGGTTTTATGCAGGCCCATTGATTTCATAGCCAGAGCGGAGGGGGAGAGAGGTGAGCGCTGACCACAACGAGACCAAGGATCAGGTGAGTAATACAGCTTTATTGGAGCCCCCTAGACAAAGTGAGAAGTTAACCCTTTCAGTGTGGCGGTAGCCTCACTGCAAGGATAAGTTTTTTCATTAGCTGAACTTCTTTAACTGTAACAGAAAAAGAGCTGCTTTACCCTCCGGGCTCTTCTGATTGTGCTGTGTGATGGGGCTGTTTAAATAGCATGAGAGACTGTACACATACTGTAAATAAATTATTTGGTCAGTAAGCACTGATTGGATAGATTAGCAAATCCTTTGGCCAGCAAAACAGCTTCCTTATCCCTGTGTATTTCATCTGTATTTGTATGTATTTTTCTGGAGTTCAGCTTTAAAGGAGAACTATGGGGTTAAGTATTTTCCCCATAGTTCTCCTTAGGGTAACGGGAGGACACAAACTAGTGTCCTCCCGTCACCCTGGGCTCAGTATACCGCGAGCTGTAGCTCACGGTATACTGAGGCGCCGCAGCTGAAGCGGATCCCAACAATTGTGCCGGGATCCACCCAGCTGCGTGACTGACAGCTGGCTCTGCCTATCTAGAGGCAGAGCCAGCTATACCCGCCCCCTCCCCTGTCTGTTCTGCCAGTCAGCGCTGGCGGATCGGAGCGGGGAGGGGGAAATCCAGCCCCTCCCCTGTCACGGCAGAGAGCCGTGACAGGATCGAGAGGTGAGCGAACGCCGATATGTGTTCGCTCACCTCCCGATCTACTGAGCCGACCTGTGACAGTCTCAGTGTCACAGGTCAGCTAGAACTATGAGGTGAGTGAAAATCACTCATCTCATAGTTCTCCTTTAACTAAGACAAGGAAATGTCATTTCTACCATGGTCTTGGTTAGGGTTGGACTTGGACCTGCCAACTCCAGCCAAAACAATTTATTTTTGTTTGAGATTTCCCCAAACTTTTTGTCTTGGTGATATTGCTGTCCCAAGAACAGCAAGTGAAGGGAATCTTTCAAGTTGAGCCGCAGACAGCTGTAAAAGACTTACTTACTAACTTCTTAATAAACTGGTCCTGGAAGATTCTGTAGCTTGCCTGCTCCACACTGCTGTGTAGGCCAACAAAGATGTCCGTGCCTGCATCTACAGTTTCACTCTATGGGCAGCTTTCTTCCATAGGTCTGTGAAAGTAGATATCCACCATTCAAAAACAGAAACCCTTATTCTGAAATCATGTTAATGTTGATCATGATAATTGTTCTAAATACAATGAGAGATGTGTGGTTTATTGGCAGTGCTCCTGATTCCCCCATCCTCATTTGGTTCATGAGCAGTATAAAATAAACAGGTTTGGGTTTATTTTAAATTATATTGCTTTAGTGCTGTTGGAACTTTGTTCCACATTATTTCACATCACTATCCAGCAACTCAAATGCTATAAAATTGTACAAGATTTGCCCTGAACACTGTGCATTTAGTATGTTCTGTAAATATGATAAAGCAGTTTTAGATTAGTTAATATGAGCTATCCACATGATTTGCTTTCACCATTTTAGGCATGTTGGCAACTGTCCTATGACCCCAATCAAATCTGCTCGAAAATAAAGACATATTATACAGTATCTGATCTGAGTGGCTGGAAACTAGTGCAGATTTTAGTTAGTGAGTGCATGTGTTCATTGAGTACACAATCCACAAGTTACAAATTGTGGCATGCCTGGGTATACTGAAAAATACAGTAGAGTAGACACTGTAGCATCAGCATCCACAGATGCAACAATCCTATTTTATTGTAATGTAACAGTGGAAAAAGAAATGCTTTTCTGAGTGCTTGTGTGTGTAAAGGTCATTTAGCTCAAATAGCCTTTTTCTACTTCTAGAACTCGTTTTGTATCAGGAATACATGCTGAATGCCCCCTTTTTTGAAATTAGTGGGTTCAAAATGTTCAAATGCATCCAAGATACACATCATTTTTAGAAATGGCAGAATCTCCAAGGGTACTGACAGTATTACATCCTCAAATATATCATATCAAAGTCTTTTGAAAAGCTGAGGATGTAGGTGTGGACTGTGGTGTCTTAGCTTGCTTTATACTTATTTATGAATCCAGTTACTATGAATTTTCCATCTGTTGGTTTTGTAAATGTGCTGGCACGGTTTTTCCTTTTTATTATAATTGCTGTGTGTTATGGCCATTCAAGTGAGAGGAGACATGAATTCAGTTCGACACTGAATTTTGTAACTGCCAGCTATTAACACTGGCTTTGGACTCACCATCCTTACTCTATTCTGTTACGCCATAGCAGTTTTAATTTCACCAGTTACATACAGACGTGACTGCATACATTTCTCTGTCCAACACTCATCAATCTTCACAGAATCTCAAGTATGATGCTGAGAATTTCTGGCCTGTGGTTCATGGTGTCACATGGTATGCTCATTTCCTGTGATGCTCTTAACCACAGGACAACAATTTTGAACCCAATAATGTCGAAAAGTAGACATTCACCACTTGTTTTCTGACACAAGACAAGTTCCAACAGAATGTGAAACATTGTCTTTGACCTGCAGAGGCTTATACATTTACAAATGTGGGGCACCACTTTCAAGGAAGTTTCTTACCACTTCTAGCCACACAGACCTATAATCTGCTTGTGGGTATTCTACTGAAATACCACACTATGTTAATCTTTTTCTTCTACATTTAAAACATCATAATATTACTGTAATGGCTGTCAGTGACTGTGCAGAAAAAAAGGAATGCTCAGCACAGTGTTCTGGGTAATTCTAACTGGGCATATGATGAACAAAAGCAGTTTACAGGAAGCCAACTGTCAAATGTTCAGTAGATCCAGAGGTCAATGGAGCTACATGCAAATCTCAAATTTTGCTGTGTAGTGTAAATGGCATGAGAGAAATAAACTATGACTCTGCTTTTGAAAATACTAGTTGCTTTGCTGTCTTCCTAGTCCATAGCCTGCAAAACATTTTAAGTCAGTGACAGAAAAAGCACAGAGATAAGCATTTCAGACTTTTCTCTGACATTCATTTGCTGCATGCTTGCTCTGGGTCAGTGATTTAGAAGTACTTAAGTTAGGCACAGCCTGGCAAATAGCATTTTTAAAAGGTTAGCTACAGATACTTTTCCAGCTCAAAGACTAGACTAGAGGAAAAACTCAGGTTTAGGAAGCAGCTAATATTTTTAAGGAGCACATTTTTTAGGTATGCACCGATACCATTTTTCCAGACCAAGTACAAGTACTTGTCCAAGTACTCACAGAAACCAATTACTGATACATTTTTGTTTAGTGTCATTTGGCAGTTTTTCTAAAACAATACAGACTAATGATTATCAGGACAGTGGTGGAGTGCCAGAGACAGGTCCCAGCTGTACCGGCTGTAACCCTGGTAGTTCTCATAAAAAAGTATCGGCACTGGTATCTGAACTGGTATCTGAACATCCCTACTAGCTATGCAGTGCCCATATTATGATAGAGATGCTTAAAAGCAGCAGATGAAAGAAATGACGGTGGAGTGAGACTGATACATTTTCAGATGTTTGTTGGAAAAAAAAGAGGGACAGCAAAATGTTATCTTATTAGTATCTTTGTCTGACTTAAAATGGCATCAGCCTTTTAGAGCCTGGGATCAGGAACGTTTGACCTCTAGTGTGTCTAGAAATATTTTTCCATCTAGCCCTTACTGTATTTGTGTCTTCACCAAAATGGCAGCCACCAGCTGTTTCAGTGTAGAGTCCTCTAGTCTGGCATTCAGTGTATGGGTCTGGAAGCATGCCTTCATTTTTCTTTCCAGCTCCATTTCTGAGTCTGTTGGGGGTTATTCACAAAGGGGTGAAGAGTTTGGAGAAGGCAGGAGAAGTGAACAATCTAGGACAACATAGCTGAACTGGAAAGTGAGCTGAATTGGATAATTTTTTCCAAATCAGATATTTTGGCCTAGATTGTTCACTTCTCCTGCCTTCTCCAAACCCTTCACCCTTTAGTGAATAACCCTGTGTTATGTCCACTGCAAACAATGTCACCACCGAAAGGTCTGTAGACTCTTTCCAAATCTTGCTTCCTGACCTGCGTTTTGATAATTGTCTTTGTGTTGGCTGATTGCTCCACATTCAGCCTCATCCCATCTCAGTTGCTGACCTGCTTGTAGAAGATATTGGTTATTGGATGTTTTTTAGTGGATACGTTTTCATCCTTTCTCATTTTGGATTTGGTCAAGCTGAAAAGTGAGGATGTGTGAATCTGTCCAAGTTCGTAGGGTGTTTTGTGGGCGGTTTGTCAAATCTCGTGTGAAGTCCTCCAAATCAGATTTTAGAAGTAAACTGAACCCCATTGAGGTATAAGGGAGGGGTGAATCTTGATACTACATTTTAGCCATTTTCAACATTAATAGGCAAGGTATTGTTAGAAAAGGGCATGGGGAGCTGGGCACTGCCATGGAGGACATTTAATAAAGCCCCAATGGAAGAGTAAGAGGACCACATATGAACTATAAACACCAGTTTGACATTCCTCCTCTAATTATATATATAGGAATTGCATTGTATGAGCCCCAATTTCCTGAAACAAGTCTAAATTTAGTATGTGACTTTGAAGGCAAAGGTGGTTGTTTAGTTTCTTTAGAAAATTCAGACTATATAATAAGGATAACTGATACTGCTTTGAAAACCAGGACTGCATGTGTTATCATTTGAATTATATTGGCAAACCAGCAGCCCAGTGCTGTGTGTAGTTCTGTAGGAAACTGATGCTAAGGGCGCTGCCCTAATAACATTGCTGGGATATCTGTACACAATCATCCTTACCTCTCTGCTCTTTCATTAAAGGCAAACTATAATGTTTTCAAGAAGACATTTTGATTTTAATTATACTTTAAAATAAAGTAAACATCTGTATACTATTTTATTTCATACACAGATTTGTATATCTCCCTTTAAAGGAGAACTATGGGGTCAGTGTTTTTCCCTATAGTTCTCCTTAGGGTAACGGGAGGACACAAACTAGCGTCCTCCCGTTACCCTAAGCTCAGTATACCGCGAGCTACAGCTCGCGGTATACTGAGACGATGCAGCCGGAGCGGATCCCGACGTAGATGACGGGATCCGCCCAGCTGCGTGAGTGACAGCTGGCTCTGCCTATCTAGAGGCAGAGCCAGCTGTAAGCGCCCTCTCCCCAGTCCGTTCCGCCAGGCAGCGCTGGCAGATCGGAGCGGGCAGAGGGGAATCCAGCCCTCCCCCTGTCATGGCAGAGAGACGTGACAGGATCGAGAGGTGAGCGAACCCGGTATGTGTTCGCTCACCTCCCGATCTACTGAGCCGACCTGTGACAGTCTCATTGTCACAGGTCGGCTAGAACTATGAGGTGAGTGGAAATCACTCATCTCATAGTTCTCCTTTAATATTCTATTTGGAAATTGTGCAATTAGCATTCTTGTTTAAAGACTGTTGAGATAAGGTCAATAAACTTTATAGGAAGTCTGTTGTCAATTTGATGCACTGGGGTTGATTTACTCTATGAATAAGGACTGTTCACTTAGAAAAATGTATACCGCAGGGGTGCCCATTAGGTAGATCGTGATCTACCAGTAGCTCTCAAAGCTGATGCTGGTAGATCACGAGGAGTGTGAATGGTGGCCCCTTTATTCCATTTTGGTATATTTATTTAGCTGTGCACACATGATTACCTATTAGCCTGAGTCTGCTGAGCCAAGCTCCCCGACACCTTTCTGGTGGATATTGGTGTTTGAAGTGCTATGTATTACATCAAAGAATATTAGTTTACACAGCCTGGTGCACTGCACTGTTTGCAAAATACAGCAAGGTAAGCCAGGTGAGAGAGGGGGCTAGAGACAGCCAGGGGAGAGAGCGAGGAGAGACAGCCAGGAGAGAGAAAGCGAGGAAAGACAGCCAGGAGGGAGAGCAAGGAGAGACAGCCCGGAGAGAGAACAAGGAGAGACAGCCAGGAGAAAGAGCGAGGAAGGTTTTTTTTTGTTGGTAGATCTCATGTAGCTCGTCATTTGAAAAGTAGATCTTAACACAAAAAATTGTGGGCACCCCTGGTATACCGAGTATAAACTGACCAAACACTGTTAGAATTTTGTCACTGGAAGTGGCTGAAATTCTAACAGTGGGTGGTCACGTCAGCTCAACAAAAGTCGATTATTCAGTCGAAGTTTGTCAGAGGAGCTGGGCCGAATACTGTCAGCCAAACAGTGACTGCAGCCAGTCAGCAGCTGTCACTGTGGGTATTTTGACAGCTGTCAGAATCCAATAGTCGGAGGGAAGGCGGGATTCCTTTACCTTCACTGTTTAGCATGGATGGATGAATCTCTTAGATGTCCTGGCTCAGCCCCAGTGGCGTAACAATCGCCATAGCGACCCAGGCGGCCGCTATGGGGCCTGTGCACAGGGGGGCCCGCCATCCCTCTGATGCCGTGTGGGCCGCCTGGGTCGCTATGGCGTCTCGGGTGCTGGCTGTCACTGACATAGCTCAGCAGCTGCTGTGAAGGAGAACGTTCCCCCTCACAGCCGCTGCGGAGCTGTGTCAGTGACAGCCAGCAGATGCGGCAGAATAGGCCGGTTACACCGGCATTTGCAGTAAAGAAGGAGGCGGGGCCCACCTAACAGCAACCCCGCCTCCTCTCACATCACTGGCCAGCGATCTAAGAGCAGGTGGGGCCAGTGATGTAAGGGGAGGCGGGGCCCGTCGATAGAAGGAGGTGGAGCCCGGGAACGGAAGAGGAGGCAGGGGCCCGGCGGCGGCGACCACGGAGGTGACAGGTAAGAGGCGTACTGAGACCTTGCAGAGCCCACCATAGAGAGTCTATGGTGGGCTCTGCAAGTGGCATAACTAGCAATCACGGGGCCCCATACAAAATTTTGCTATGGGGCCGTGTGATTTCTAGTTACGCTCCTGCTCAGCCCACAGGCTTAGCAAAATAAATCTGTGAGTGCATGGTCAGCTTTTAGTGAATAAAGTGAATCTGTGTTCACTTCAATCTTCCAGTCGTGTGCAAGCAAAACTTCTGTTTTGGACAGTGAGCCGAGCCTCTCCTTGTTCATTAAGCTAAGTGAACATTTACTTTGCTGCAGGAATATTCTCTATACCTTTAGATAGTAAACCCCATAAACTTACAATGAAAAAGAAAATAATGAAGCCAGTACTACAAAGCAAGAAACATGTAATGACCATGCAAGACTGCCCTAAAATACTATGTATGTATATACTGCATACACCCTTTCACCCTCCTGGTCCCTGAACACAACTCAGAATCAGATAAATGATTGCTAGCAATGTGGTGACCTGCCTACAGCCTGGCAGTATTTGAAGTGGGTTTTGCACTACAATTGCAAGGTCCACTTATTAGTGTGGAGAAAAGTTATACTCACTTACTTTACGCCCACTTCCACAAGTGCTGCCTAGGTGAAGGGGATTTCATTATCATTTTGACAAAAACCCAGAGTGCTGAGTAGGCCACATTTAGTGAGGAGACACTACTTTTCTCTGCTGTAGCCTCACCTTGCGGTATAAAGTCCCCACACGGTTTTTTCTTTTCTTTCTTTTTTTTTTCTTTTGGTAGTTTAAGGTTGTTGAGGAGCCACACTAAACAAGTAGACCTTGCATAAAGTGCAGTGTCTGCTTTAAATTGTGCATATCCATGATAAATTAAACAAGGCTGTCATAGAGAATAATAATGACCATCCACGTGCTGCTCTGCACAAAGCTATTATTGTCTGTTTTGAGAGCAGGACAAATGTAATGATCACAGATCTGCCTAAACTCTGCCCAAAGTAAACACTGCTTGGCCTTGGGCAGGAAACACGGGAACATTTGTTTACCTGTATCTGAGGTCAGTAGTGATATTTTACAATATGATGAGCAGAGCCAAGGGGGTGGGATTGGGGGTTAATTTAAATGTACAGTTATCCTTTAATGTGAACCTTTGAGAACAGGCATATGGGAACATCCGTTGCTCTAAGTTCTGTGCACTATATTGATCCATATAGATCCTGGCTTTACTGCCTAATGAGTTACTGAATTGAAGCCAAGCCAAGAAAGGGATGACATATTTTGAACGTGCACCTTTAAAAACAAGCCAGCAGTAACATTTACCATATGCATATTCTTATAGTCGCGGTAAAGGAAATATGCACTGAGGGAAACCTGTAGACTGCCATTAATGATCTCTTCCTGAAACTGCTAGCTGCCTGGCTGTCTTGCTTTAACCTTTTGAGTCACTGACTTGAAGCAAGCATGTAGCAGAAAGTGCACAGTACAATGGGTCAGCATGACAGCTAGGCATTAAACCCCCCAGGACCATAACACTGCAAATAATCCAAAGAAAAACATTCTATAAGCTATTAATCATATTGTATTGCATTATACTACTACATATCTATCTATCTATCTATCTATCTATCTATCTATCTATCTATCTATCTATCTATCTATCTAGGGAGTGTAGCAAATAACTGGATAGAGATCTATCAATTTGTGGCCAATCTAACCCAGAGATTTGTGAGGTAAGCATAATTTTTCTGTTTCAGGCAAATTATTTAATGTACATTCATACCTCCTTTGAACAACAAAACAGAATTGTGACCAAAGGAATATGGATCACACTCTCCATTATTGTGGTCACTGTAGCAGCAACAGGGTTTTTAAAGTTTCCACATTGAAAGGAACAAGTCTGACAACCAGTCAATCAGTTTTCCTGTTTCTTAAAGGGGTTCTAAACCCTCTGTTTTTTTTGCCTATATCTACTGCTAGCAAGCAGTAGATATAGGCAAGAAGTTAAAAAAAAAAAACGCTTGAACTGGTTTTAAACTTACTTCGTTATCGCTGCTCGCTCCCGCGCCGAGAATCAGGAACTGCTCGTACGGCCGCAAAGGATCTTGGGGCGGGCGCATGCACAGTTCCGATTCTCGGCCGGGAGACGAGCAGAGACGCAAGGTAAGTCTATGGACGTGTGCACCCGCCTGCAGACACCGCTTGATCGGAGAGACAGAGCAGTCAGCGCTGGATCGGAGTGACGCCGCACCGCTGGAGGGACACATGAAAACATGGGGAAAGAAGAGGAAGATCAGAATAAGAGACATCATTTGAGGTAAGTGCTAACATTTACATGGGGGGAGGGGAAACATTTTTGGCTTTAATGTCACTTTAAAGTGAACATAAACTCTAAACCTGTTTTGCATCATGTTTGGCATGATGACTTACAGCATACTTTTTTTTGTGAATTTATTGTGAAGTTTCTTACCTGGAGATAATGCCAGTAGAAGGAATCTCTATTGCAACCTGACAACTTTAAAGGGTTATTAAGCCCTCACTTTGTTTGCATTTATCTACTGCTAGCAAGCAGTAGACATATGCAAAAACTTAAAAAAAAAAAAAACCTTTTAAAAATGTTTTAAACTTACCTGTGTCTTCGCCGCATGCTCCCGTCCGAACATCTGAAGAGTCTCGGGCGGCCGCAAAGAATCTTGGGGCAGGCGCATGCGCAGTTCAGATGTTTGGCCGGGAGACATGGAGAGAAATAAGGTAAGTCTATGGAGTAGCGTGCACCCACACAGACTCCATGAGACATGAGAGAAGAGGAGGACAGAGGAGTCAGCGCTGGGTCAGAGTACCTGCACCAGCGCTGGAGGGACATCTGAAAAGGATGTCCCTCTTTACATTAGCATTGTAGGAGGGGGGGCCGTTTGACTTTCAGCAGCTTTGTCAACTAGACATGTGCGATTCGTTTTATTCCAAGTCAAAAATCGAACACATTTTCTGGTATTTGGACATTCGGCCACATCCGAATTTCCGAATCCCAATGCATTCGAATCCAAATTTCGGATCCCGTCCGAATTTTGTTCAAAAACTAAACTGAACCATACATGTGACTTTTCTGGCCAACCAGATGTGTTTTCGGTTTAATGCATCGGAATGGGTCTGAACATGGATTTTCGTTACGGAAACATGGGAGCCATATACAGTATATACATATAATAGTAAAGCTGAGTTTTGGAGCTCCCAAATGCCATTCGGAAATTCAGATCATGAATGCCATTGGGGTCTAGGAGATTCAGCTTTAGTATTATTATCTGTATATGGTTTTCTGTGGTATTCGGAACGAATATTTGTAAACTCATCCAAAACTAACGAAAATTCGGATATTTTCCAAATTAGAAACCTGAACCAAATTAAATTTCAGATCCGAACCAAAGTGAACCAAATTTTTCCATAGCTCACATGTCTAATGACAACCCAAAATTTGGGGATTTGGGATTTTCTTTCACTTTCACTGATCAGGTGTTCTAATCTCTCTCCACTTTATCCAAAATTAAAAAAAAAAAGTTTTGTCTACAGTTGCACTTCATGTTTGTAGCAGTAAAAAAAAATGAAGTTATTGTTTTTGTTCTTTTTGCTTTGCACCTTCATTTGTTTAATGAAATAGTTCTGTTTGTGACTCACTTTTGGACATAATAATTACCATTAATTACCAAAACAAATGAAGATTGCAGATGTCTAGCTTTTTCCTCACTGTGGTTGATGTCTGACCACAATTGTCATGTTATAGCACAAAAGATACTATTCCATCAATAGGTAATCTCTACTTTAGTTATGTATGCTGTTGGATAACTGGTCACTTCCTTTCCCCCGACTTTGTTGTCAAATAACATTGTCTCAAAGCCTAGATCAGTAGTGTTATGGTTACAAAACTGCTGCAATAACTGTTCTGCAGGCAGCATCTATAACTTCAGGTCTCAGCCCAGCCTATTGGCTGACAGAATCCAGTATGTATGGATAATGCTCCTTTAACAATAAAAGTAGAAAGAATTCAATATTGTTCAGTGCTTGAGCAAAGAAGCAGTGGTTTTTTCTACTAAAGTGACATGTAATAGCTTACTAAAAAATAATTAAGGATGAACTTGTTGTTTAGTGTCTACATGCAAAAAAAATATTATTGTACATGGATATGGCTGAAGCTTTGGCATTGCGTGTGCTCTCAGTAAAAGAATGTTGCAATCTGGCACGTTCATGTTCTACGTAGTTAATTGGATTGGTGTCAGGCATAAACAGGAAGATACGTAAAATGTTTTTCAGCATATGGTGAAACCCGCAGATCTTAACTTCTTTAAATGATAGGATTTTGTTTCATTACCAGTTACTGTTTCACCTCATAAAGGCCAAAATATAACAAATGTGTTAAACATAATATGTTGTCATGGATCTCCATACTTAGATATCATGACATGAGCAATTTTATTTGCTTCTGTGGTTATGCTTCAATTAATCCTGATCTGATTCTGCTTATTTAAATAATACCATTTACAATACATCTGGAAGATAAGTGCATCAGTGGTTGTGTCATATTATATTCATTAATGTTTAAAAGATGTCAGCAAATTTGTTCTCAGATTATCTAAATATGTTAAGACACTGCCCTTTGTTTTTGTTTTTACTTTCTTACTTTAATCCAAACAATATAAAATAAAGTGTATGACAGTGTACAGCAAATTAAATATTTTATTTTTATTTTCTATGAGACAAATCAGTATTATTGTTATGTCTAACAAGTCAAGTAAATCAAGTTAAAACTTAAACAATACTTCCTTCCTAATGTCTTCCTTCCTTAATAAAACCTTGCTCAACAGATCCTTATCTGACCCTATGTAACCAATGGGCAGCAAACAACATTCCTTTACAGCTATGTAATATGCATTGTGTATTCCTAGTGATCATCTAGCTGTCTCTTTTTGTACCTTCTTTCTTTCTCACATCACAGTTTTTAAAGGGTCATTGGCTGAGTGTTTTATTAATGCATGATGAAGCTGCTGAGTGGCCAGTGACCAGGAATGGGATCCCTAAAGCTGGCCATACACCTTCCAATTATCTGCAGATTTTCTGTGGTCAGATGGAAAAGGTGCAACAGATTCCTCCATCTACACTTAACTGTGTGGATGGAGTAATCTCCACCTGGGCCAATCTGTTGCACTTTTTCCATCTGACCACAGAAAATCTGCAGATAATTGTAAGGTGTATGGGCACCTTAACAGTGGTCACTGGTTAAAAGAAAATCATCACCTTTCAAGCGGTCATGGGTGAACATTTACTCTGACCTGATGCAAACCAAATAGAATAGATCCACTTAATAGTAAATATATTTACTACAGATTAATACTCATTTTGATCAAACAAGTTTGATGAAAGCAGGCCATACAGTTCTCGTGAAATGTGTAGAGAATTGTTTTTACTCCACTGAATCGCCAGCATCTATGTTATCATACATTTGGTGGTAAAATCTTTTCTATGATATCTGTATGTGACTTGGATAAAGTATGTTGGATTGTGTCTAGCTGGTCAGTGGTAGATCTAGGCATAAACCTCAATGGTCTTTCTAAGATAAATTGTTCAATGTGAAGTACCAATAATTCAAACATTTAGATAAATATGACATTGTATAATTACTATGGTCGATTTGGTACCGTTAAAGGAGAATTATGAGGTGAGTGCTTTTCACTCAGCCTCATAATCTGTGACAATGAAACTGTCACAGGTCGGCTCAGTAGATGTGGAAGTGAGCGAACACATACCATCGTTCGCTCACTTCTCGATCCTGTCACTGCAGAGAGCCGTGACAGGGGAGTGACTGGATTCTCCCCTCCCCTGTCCGATCCTCCAGCGCTGATTGGTGGAACGGACGGGGGAGGGGGCGGGTACAGCTTGCTCTGCCTCTAGATCGGCAGAGCCAGCTGTCACTCACGGAGCTGGGCGGATCCAGACATAATTGTCGGGATCCACTTCAGCTGCGGCGTCTCAGTATACCGCGAGCTGCAGCTTGCGGTATACTGAGCTTTGGGTAACGGGAGGAAGCTAGTTTGTGTCCTCCCGTTACCCTTCGGAGAACTATGGGGAAAAGCCCTAACCCCCATAGTTCTCCTTTTAAAGTTCAACATCTGTACCAATAGACCTCAAAGCAATATTTATATTTAAACATGCTGTCCTAGGTATTACACTCTTTTCGACATATTAAGCTGGCCATACACAGGGAGAACATACAAACCTCTTGCAGATACTCCTTGAGGGCAGGAAATGATGTGAATCTTTACTGTGTAAAGCGCTGCGTAAATTGTCGGTGCTATATAAATACATGTAATACATAAATAGATAGTGTCCTGAGCAGGATTCCCCCCCCCGACCCCTCACCTTGAATCCCGGGATCCGCTGCCCCATCTTGAATCCCGGGACCGGCTCGGAGGGCATCAGGAGGAGGAGGACGGGAGATCAGCTCCTTGCTGATCTCCGTCCGGGCTGTGAATGCAGAAGTGATGTGTATTACATCAAAAAAAAATTGGGTAATAATAAATGTTTTATCATTTAATATAGGGGAAACTGTTTTTTTTTTTTAATTTCGGTAATTTTTCCTTAATATAGTTAAAAAAATAAAAACCCCAGTGGTGAATAAATACCACCAAAAGAAAGCTCTATCTGTCCCCAAAAAAGGGTATAAAATTCATTTCAGTACAGCGCTGCA